CCACTGGGTAACAGCCAGCGTTTGTCACGGAACGATGCAATTCATTTAAAACGTGTACACGCGGATTTATACAACAGATACCTGCCGAGGATAGAATGCGGACCGTACCTAAACACAAGCGCGCGAAAAAGGACAGAGATATTCAAGGAGTTATTGGGCCACTTGCGTTCGATGTTTTCGACTTACCGACGTGTCGAGTACATTGTCGGTTTACACCATTGGAACCTCAGTGCGCCTTTTGGCGTCATCTGGTCCAACACGATGTGAGACTAGGCTCTAAGGAAAGCTGTCTTCGGGTGTGGACCAATCAACTTCAAGGACAGTGCATACATTATCAGAGTTATGTTTTTTGTTTGCATTATGACTGCAGGTATTGTGGTCTATGCAAACGTGACTCCTTGTAAAAAAGGTGTCAGTTTTGTTGCCAGATAAAAGGGTAAAAAATCAATTATCATTGTCGGTTTAGTTTCGCCGGGCTAAAAAAATTACTAAATACGAAACCGTTCAACCACCACGGGAAGGGGGAGTGAGGTGGGGTCAAGGATGGCAATGAATGGGAAGAAAAGAACAGAGCGGGACAGGGAAGGGGAGGGAGGTGGGGTCAAGGACGCCAACGAATGGGAAGAGGAGAACGGAGCGGGTCAGGGAAAAGGAGGGAGGACGGGACAGAAGTTTCCCCAAGATGGACAAAGAGGAGGGGCCACGGCTCAAGATGAGCGGAAGGAAGAGAGAAGGGGGGGGGGGGGGCACCGGGCAGGATGGGGAGGAGGGGGAGAAGGAACGACCGGGTCAAGGTGTCGGGGGTGAGAGGGCGATGATCATGATGATGATCATGATGACGATGATCATGACGATGATCATGACGATGATCATGACGATGATCATGACGATGATCATGACGATGATCATGACGATGATCATGACGATGATCATGACGATGATCATGACGATGATCATGACGATGATCATGACGATGATCATGACGATGAAGGGGAGAGGGTAAAAGAGGAAAAGAGAAGGAATGAGCAGTTAGCTGCACGAAGCAGCGTCTGTTTTCGCAGGGGGCGGGGGGTGGAGGTATTCAGAGTGGGAGTGGCCAGGCACACAGGTCACATGGTTAACAGTATGCTTGAGGCGATTTATTTATTATACTGCTTTTCTATTCAATCTGGTATTCACTCTTGTCGGTTTACCTTGAAAAAAACGTATTTATATAAAAAAAAATCATATTCTTGGTTCTTTCGGTAAAGTCACGTAGATAGAAAATAAAAATAAAATAAAAATAATTAAATTCAATTTTTATTTTCTATTTACGTGACTTTACCGAAAGAACCAAGTATATATATTTTTAGGTGATTTGTTAACCATTCCTATAATTTTCATTCCTATCGTGTTTTTTTTCGCATCGTTTGTTGTTGAAACGTTCTACTGGACATCCGTGAAAATATACTTTATAAAGCTCATCGGATTCCTCCAGTCTAAATAGTTGTTTCGATTCTGCTCACCTGCAGTCTCAAAGGGGCTCTCACCCTGGCGATGCATCAAGATTTCACCGACCATGTAAATGCTCGTGGCTTCAACGTTTTTTGGCCGCGATGACATCTTGATCTTGACTTATTTCCCCGATCAATGAAATCACATTACGCGGAGATCTGTTTTATAGTTCCCCAGCAGAGGAGAGGGAGGTGCACTGCTCACCATTAGGGTTGTGAATGGACAGATTCTTAGTCTCATAACACGATGGTCGATAGCTCACATAGAATATAACCGGGAGAGAGAAATCGAAAATATATATGTGTAGACGTTTTAAAGGTGATTTAGCGTTGGCACGCGAGTCATCATCGCCAGACGTGATCGATCCACCGTCGCTCACAACCCTGCGATTAAATAATCTTCCGAGCGGCTGCACACGAGCCGATTTCGTCGCTCCATCTCATCGACAGTTGTGTCCCTTGGGACGTAAATGTCGCCAGTCATACTCAGCTCCATTCAATACCGAGGGCCTGGAGCCAGGGCCAAGATTGGGTCGGGCTCCAACCCACGCCCTCCTGCTGACGGTAAGAAGCCGGCGTTCCGGGCAGTGGCACTTCTCCATACGCACATAAATAATACGCGCTCAATTACGCATTTTCTTTCAAGGCCGCGCAGTGCTGTTGACCGTCTAAAAAATATATATTTTGAATCGCTTGGGGGGGTGCCACTGGGGAGACAAAGACGGCCTGGCACGTGGTGTTGGCCACCCACCCCCGTCGTGTGTGCCGTGCTGGCCTTCGGAGGTCACTGCAGAAGAACCCCTCTTAACGACCACCCCAGTTAACGACTAATCGCTTAACGACGGGCCTCCAGCACTTGCCCCGAAAAGTCTGTTAAGGCTTTGTCTTTGTTGGTGGCGGGCGGGAGTTAATAGCCGCATGGCTCGTTGGCTCTACAAGTCGCTTTTCGTTCCCCCTCCCGCTTGTGGAATGCCACCGATGGTCCCACAGGGGTCACTACTTGGCCACCGGCAGCCGCGCTTCAAAAGCTGCCGCTGGGAATGGGGAAAGGCGGCAGGGCGCGTCGCTCGAGGTTAATTTACCGTCGCCGTACACACATTTTTTTTGTTGCAACAAGAATAAAAAAAAACTAAAAACTCGCATTGCGGGCACGGTCATTTACAATAACAACAAAGAGTCCAACAAATCTCTGGAGGCGCGCTGTTGAAGTTAAGCGCACCGACGTCCTCTGCGAGTTAATAACGTCGCCAGAGGCAATGCCTCGCTGTTTGGGGGGGGGGGGGAGGTGCTTTGCTCGGCACGGCGAGATTTTTTAAAAAAACTTTTAAACGCCCCCGTTGATTATTCAGTAGCGCACCTGCCGATGAGCGCTGCGAGTCGGCCGTCGCCAACATTCGAGACATTCCCAACTATTGAAACTATTTTAATCAAGTGAACCATTTCTTTATTTCACCAGGTAAGGCCCCACCGAGTGATGTAGAGGTATTTTTCAGGAGCGACCTGGCTATCACGAACGCTCAAAAAAGTGGCTTATCGCGCGGAAATCTTTAGTCGGCAAACACTTTTAAGGCGCGTTGATTCTAAATGCGAAGGGGAGAAACTGTAGGGCCCGGAGAAAAATCCATGCTGCCACGGGGAGAAGGGTCGGGGATCGAACCCACGACCTCCTGTATACCGGGCGAGATAGTTTATTATTTGCTATTCAGGGATAATAGTGGCACGGATGACAGATGGAGACACTTTAAAACGTGGGAAAATGCACGTCCTGTTTAATTAGGCGTGAGCCGTCACCCCCTTCCCCCGCATGATAATTAATGATCTCCTTGAAGAAGGGACACGGGGAAAACCGGAGTTGTTACGCCGAGATTGCGGCCGTGGTTTAATTTGATGTATCGGCGTATGACGTTAGAAGACAATGGCCTTCTCGTGTGAGTGACATCGAAGGAGGAATGGATCGGCATAACGTTCCAGCGGACGGCGGGTTACTCGCTTCTGTACCGTCAACTCGGGGAGAAATGTTTCAAACAAACTGAATTTAAAAGGTCTGCTCCCACGTCTCTGTTGTTGTTGTTGCGTTCTCCAAAGCAATTTCTCTCTCGAATTGCTTTTGGCGTTTTGTTTATAATGGGGGTTTATTTTTTGTTTGGGTCAGATCGCGTAAATATAAATGGTGTCTCGTTTGTGCACCACCATCACCTCCCCCCCCCCACTGCCAACTGCGGCTGCTGCAGCCCTCACCGAATAATTGTTACAAATTCAAGTGGTGAACTTCTGGGTACGACGTTCACCGTTGAAACGTGATAGACCGCACCTCAGATTAGCGCGTCTGGCTATGTGCGGTTACGAAAGAAATTCAACGTACATACGTACGTCACACCCGGCTAGCTGCCGTCTTCAGAGACACGCATGTATACACACGAGAAAACGCGAGGATCGTGAATGTAAACGTGACTTTTAATCTCTCATGCTGGCTCCAACGTACAGGTAGAAGAACGTTTCAAATATATACTGGCATTGACCGCTCGCACCGAGAGAAACAAAAGCGACGCAGGATGTCACCCACACAGCTCACTTGCCCCCTGCCCCCCTCCCGCCCGGGGCCCGACTTCCACAAAACAACATCCCGTACGTTTCACGTCAAATATTCATTCTCGCCGTCTCTCAACTCGCACTTCTGCAGCTTCGACGTCCAAAACGACGGGAACGAGCGCCAAACTGGGGGGGGTGGGGGGGGGGAAACTAGCGGCTTTGCTCCGGCAGCGCAGGTCACCGCGGCGGCGAGCGGCGGCTGCTGCTTTTGCCGTTCACCCTGTCAGAGCGTCTCTCCCCCGCTCGCCGCGTGGCCCGCCGTGTGGCGGCGTTTCCGGCTCCGTCCGGTGGCTCCGAGCCAATCACGGAAACCTCCTCGTCGCCCGAGCGCGGCTCTGGCTTCCTCTCTCCTCCGCGGCACGACCCCCGACACCCCCCCCCAACGCCCCCACGCCGAGTCGCCGCTTGCAACGACATCTCTGACAGTCCCCGGGTAAACTCGTGACCCGCGACTTCAAACGTTTGCGACAGTTTTGACTTTAAGCCTCGCTGCCTGCTGCTGCTGCTGCTCTCCCGATGACATCAGGGCCGGGTTCTGCGAGCCTCGACCCGCACCGAATCATCACGCGACGTTTCCCCACACGTCCTGCATCATTACGGTGTGCGCACGGGGCCACGTCTGCGTGGCCAAATCCGAAAAAAATTATTCGCAGAGTCTGATTCGATTTGTTCACAGCTGCGCGGTCTCAACGTCGCTCCTCCTCCGGTGAAACCACCGCGAAAACTACCGAGCCATCATGCTCACGCGCGCCGCGATGGCCTTGCGGCCGGAGAGACAGCGGCGGCCGAACGCAACGCGCTACGCGGCTCGACCCGCACGCACGTTGAGCGTTCCTTCGCACCGTACGTAGCGCCAACCGCGCCAATCTGGAGGGCGCAACTTTTTTGATTTGGTGCCGCGGGAGGGCGTGACGCTACCTTGAGTGGCGGCGGCGCCGTTCAATAGTGCTTCTCCTGCAGGTAGTCCTTCATCTTGTTGGGCAGCGGCAGGCTGCGGACGAGGTCGATGCGCGTGCTCTGGCGGATGACGAAGCGGCACAGGTACTGCAGCGAGCGCACGTGCATAAAGCGCGACACGGGCGTCGTCAGCCGCACGGGGTACGTGGCCGAGCCGGGGAAGCGCGAGCGCGAGTAGCAGAAGGCGCCGATCTCCGAGTCGCGCACCGAGCTCTCGACGAGCTGCACCACCGAAGCGTGGCCCTCCAGCTCGGGCTGCTCGTAGAAGCTGAAGCGCCCGTTGGAGTGCTCGACGCGCGTGTGCAGCGTGCGCCCGCGCGACCGGAAGCTCAGGCTCAGCAGATAGCGCTCGTCCGAGCTGTCGCGCACCAGGAAGGCGCCGTCGGGCAGCGCCGTCAGCTTCTCCTCCGCCTCCTGCCGCGTCACGGGCCCCCAGTACCAGCCGTGCCGCGCCAGCTTCTTCAGCTCCTCCGTGAGGCTGGTGGCCGCCGCCCTGCCGGCGCCCTCGTACAGGCGGCAAGCACCCGGCGGCACGGCCCCCGTGTCCAGCGGCGACGCTCCCGCGCCCGGCCCGGCGCGGCGCTCGCTCGGGGAGCGTCCCGCGCCCGGACGCCGCGTCCTGACGCCGTCGTCGCCGTCGCACGGCGCGCGGTCCGGCGCGATGCACGGCCCCGCCAAGGGGCAGCCGCCCGGCACCGGCCGCGCGGCGCCTCCGCCGGGCAGATTCACGTTCCGGTCGGGCTGGACGTCGACGTGCAAGCAGTCCGCGCCGTTGAGGCACGCCGCTCCGCCGGCCGCGGCGTTGCGACCCCAGTGCCGCCGAGCGATCGGCCCGTCGGGTGCGTGCGCGCCCACGGCCGCTCCCGTACCGCGGCGCGAGTCTCCCTCCTCCGACGGTGGCACGGCATCCTCGGCGCCCGTGCCGTCGGCCGATACGTCGTGGTATTCGTCCGGCGCGTGCGTGGGAGGCAAATTGTCGTTCGCTTTGCACAGCGTGCCCCGGTCCTCCAGGTCGGACTCGGACTGCAGCATCGCGCAGGACGACGGCGAGCTGCGCTCCTCCTCCTCCTCTTCCTCCTCCTCCTCCTCCATGTCCTCGACGTCGGCCTTGCGCGCCTCGGCAAAGTCCCCCGTTCCCGCGTCGCCCCCGGGGACGCGCGGCCCCGTCGGGTTGTCGTTGCAGTCGAGGCCGTTTGCCGTCGGCGAGCCGGGCAGCCTCAGCTCCAGGCGGAGGCCGCCACCACCGCACTCCATCCTGGCGTGCGTAGACTCGGGAAAAGGCACTCCGGCGGCGGCGGTTTCGTCGTCCGTCGGCACGTTCTCGTTCAGCCCATCGCACCGGCGGCCCTCGGAGCGGGCGTCCGGTCGGGGCGCGACATCCGCGGCGGGAGCCCGTGTCGCCAAGCGGCACGCCTCCCCGCCCCGCCTCGTGCCGTTCGCCTCCGGCGGGGACGCGGAGAGGAGGGGGGACGCGGCGGGGTCGCTGCGGCTGCCCGTCGACAGCGACGACGACGACGAAGCGGGAGACCAGCGGGCCCGGGGCGGCCGCTCGCCGTTGGTCGGCGGCGCGGTGACGGGCGAGGGGACGTCGGTGGCGGCCCACGTGACGGCCACCGCTCCGGCCGCGGGGGGGGCCGCTCGGTCGCCGTCCTTCCCGCGGCCCCTCTGCCTGGAGGAGAGGCGCCTCCGCAGGGTCCCCATGAAGCCCTCGCCGCCCTTCGCCCGGCCCTTCGCGTCGTCCTCGTCGCCGTCCGCCCCTCCGTCGCCACGGACGACGACGCCGGTCGCGGCCTCCCGCCCCTCGTGCTCGTGGCAGGCCCCCGGCCCCGTCTCCTCCTCCTCTCGGCTCCTCTTCAGGTGGAAGGACTTGCGCAAGGACCGGCTAATTTTTTTCATAACTCGATTTTTGACACGGTTGTTCGACCCCCGCCCGCCCCCCCCCCCCTTATTGTTTTTTATTGGCGGGCGGGGAACGCGCAGGCATGAACCTTATTGCCGTAAATTAAGTCAGGGCTCTCTCCCTTCTCTCTCCGCTCGCTATCGGTCATAGAGATCTTGCCGGGGCCATCGCGAGCCTGGGAGCGCTCGATATCCTGCGAAGGAAACAAAAAGGGAACGGGGGTTGAGCACAGCTTTAAGACGTGCAATTTAACGTTCAATACGAACGAATCTCAATCAAGACCCGAGCGCTGAGCAAACCGGACATGCCAGCGTCCTCGTATTGATATTTCAAAACAAGTCCATATTCTGTCCGAGACCAATACGCTCAATCTTGGGTTGTTCGCTGTATGAACAGGTTCAGTTCGGCGGGGGGGGAGGGGGGGAGCGGTGGCGCAGCGGTTGGCGTCCGATGCTACGGGTTCAGTGACCGCAGTTAATTTCCAGGTCGCAATTCACATCAATGGGCGAGCAATATCTGAACCAGTCTAGGGGCAATCTGAATTTTGGAGCTTTCGTGACTGCAGGAATTATTCTTTGGTTCTTTCGGTTAAGTCACGTATAAAGATAAAATAATAAATTAAATAATAGCATAAATAAATTTAATAATAGTATGCTATTATTTAATTTCTTATTTTATCTTTATACGTGACTTAACCGAAAGAACCAAAGAACAGTCTAGGGGCACCCTTTCACAAACCTGCATCGACCAGTGTGGCGAAGTATGATCAAGCAGGCCCCGCTACCAACACAGCATTGGGAGGCCTTCATCCAGCAGCGGATTGCCACAAAAGGCTGCAAGACCACAATTTATTATTTTAAAACATTACACCCACCGGTATTGCCGAGTGTGTAAATAACAAAGCTTGAATACTCACAATATTATTCGTACGGGAAACATTTTATCCCTGGCTGGTGGGCAAAACATTCTCCCACGGCACACGCGCGAGCAAGAAACACAAATTCCTCGGACATGTTTGTGAACACGCCGGAACGTTTCGGCACCATGTGCCGCGGTTTAAAAGAGACGTTTTACGCCCCCCTTTGTCAATCCACCGCTGGATGAAAGCCTCTCCCCACTTTCTGTCGGTCGTGCAGGCCGTGTGACCATACCTTGACCCACCAAGCTGGGTCAGTTGCTGGTTGGTCGAGGGTGGGGTGGCGGTGGGGTAGTGGGAGGGGGGCACGGAAGAAGCCCAGGAGTGGTTGAGTAATCACTCGCCGCTGATGTTATCCGTGCAAAAAAAGCCACGGCCACCTCCGATGGTCCCTTTGGTTTAACGGTCCATCGAGGTGACAGGCCATCAACCCCCTCGTCCCTGACAGCTTGGGTGAATACCAAAAATGTCCCCGAAGATGGACACCACCAGGCAAAAGGAGACCCGGGAGAGCCGAGACCGCCTGGCGGAAGACGGTGAAGGACGAGCTGGTGGCAGCGATCAGCCTCTCTTGGGGCGAGGCTCAACATGTTGCCAAGGACAGGAAGGAGTGGGAGGGAACTCATTGCGGCCTCGTGTTCCATAGAGGGTTTGCTAACTGGGTGTCTCAGGCATGCGGCTATCTGTTGTTATCCGTGCAAAAAAATAAATCGAGCTCAGTTAGTCAAGTGCAAAGCGCTAAGCACTGCGCCCAAAACCATCGGTTGACGTTGCCAAAAAGCACAACGGCGAGACGCCCACGCGGAGGCCGGATGCTGCTCTCGCGCCCGGCAATGCAAAGTTCGTTCCGATTCAAATTAACGACGGCTTTAAAGCGACATGCTCTCTCTATATATACGCAGTAGACTCTCGATTATCCGCACTAATGATGGGGAGGACAGCCGCGGATAATTCAAAATCATGGATAATCAAAAAATATACATTTATAATGGTCGACCGGTCGACGATGGGCGTGCTCAGTGATAACACTTTCCTGGCTCCCACCGAGCAGAAGACTCCCGCCCACTAAGTGGGTGATTGCAGAGCCACGCCAATTAACGTCAAACTCCGCCCCACTGTTGTAAAGATATGCAACTACTGTACTGTAGAGGCAATCAGGTGGATTTCGGATGAATCGGAGCAACATATTTGTTCAGTTTAAACACGTGACCTGTAATAAACATCTCCAAGAAGAACAATGTACAACTGTTTTTATAATTATGAATTTGGGCTCAAGGGGAAAAAATCCACTAATTACAAATTTACGTCAAAATCTCAGGTGTGCAATGAATCTGATTTGCGGAATAACCACGCGTCTGAGATCATCGAGAGCGCACCTACAAACCCAAAATCGCCGGGCACGGCGAGTCACGTGTGCGGCAGCGGTGATCCGCCATCGAGGCCGGAGGCGACCGCAAAGATTGCCGCGTGCCTGAGACACCCAAGCCGTCGGAAACGAGGGGGGTTTGATGGCCCATCTCCTCGATGGGATTGTTAAACCAAAGGGCCATCATACAGGGAGGCCTTCATCCAGAAGTGTATTCATCATAGCCGCTGCTGCTGCTGCTGATGCTGCTGGTGATGACGGATTCAATCTAGAGTGTTTTTGTATTCGACTCCCAACGGATGACACCGCCGAAAGATAACGATCGTCGTCATTCGCAGCCACGGCCAATCCACTGCTGGATGAAGGCCTCCCCTTCCCGCAAACCGATTTCACCGCTCCCTTTCCTCGGCGACCGTAACCTCAGCCACCGTTTCCAAGCAGACGTTACTAAAAACTAAACTATTTTCATTTTTTACCAGGTAAGGCCCACTGAGCTGCATAGCTCTTTTTCCGAAGCGATCAGGCTATCGCAAATTATATCTCAACAAGGTGGCTTATCGTGTGGAAATGCACAGCAGCCAAATACTCTGAAGGCGTGATGTTGCATAGCAGCCAAATACTCTGAAGGCGTGACGTTGCATAGCAGCCAAATACTCTGAAGGCGTGACGTAGATTCTAAATGTGGAGGGGAAAACCGGAGGGCCCGGAGAAAAATGCACGCAACCACGGGGAGAGAGAGAGAGAGAGACACCGCAAACTCGAAATATACAGCAGGCGTCAAGGGTCAGGGACGAACCCACGACCTCCTGTATACCAAGTGAAGGAGGTAACATCACCTAACCACCGCGGCACCCATCCGGCAACTACCAGCTATTGTGCACGAATCTGCGCGAATGCTACCCAATTGAAGGAAGCAAGTGTTCATTGTTTACTGCCGATTATAAAGTTATGGCCACTATTCAAAAAAACATTGCTGTTGTTCTACACTGAGTGCACGCACGTAAACCGCACTTTCGTAAGACAAATCACTGCAGGATGTGTTCCCCCCCCCCACCTCCGATGAGCACAGACGGCTACGTACGGCGCGGAAGAAGTTCAACATACACACATGCATATGACGGTTGGCTACGTATGGCGCGAAAGAAGTTCAACATACACACATGCATATGACGGTTGGCTAAGTACGGCGCGAAAGAAGTTCAACATACACACATGCATATGACGGTTGGTTACGTACGGCGCGAAAGAAGTTCAACATACACACATGCATATGACGGTTGGCTAAGTACGGCGCGAAAGAAGTTCAACATACACACATGCATATGACGGTTGGTTACGTACGGCGCGGAAGAAGTTCAACATACACACATAACATGGTTAGCTACGTACAATGGAAAAGAAGTTCAACATACATACAAGCGTAGCACGGTTGGCTACGTACGGTGCGAAAGAAGATCAACGTACATATATACGTCCGATGGCCAGAAGCGCAATGATTCGATCGCAATCCACGCTCTTGAAAGCCAGCCAGCCTGCCGCAACAATGGGAAATAAAACGAACGGGAGCCCTCAAGCCCACGCAAGAGAGCGCGGCGTCCCCCAAGCGACAAAAGATTCTGCACTCTCACACTCCGCACGTTACGGAAACAAACAAATAACCCTAACGATGCACCGTGCGGACGCAGCGCAATCAATAAGAAACCTTCAACTTGCTGCTCCCACCCCTCCGCACTGGTCACCGAGAAACCCTAAAATGAAATTGGCGAGCGGTTATAACGGCTGCCATTGAAGGCCTATGAAATAATGCTGATTTATGAGCCTCGCGTGGCAGGCCATTGTTTTTGTGGACACCAATAAAGCAGAAATTGGCCGAGCGGGTCAGTGGTTGAAGCAGTGGCTCTCAATCTTTATCGTACGGCTACCCAGCCCCCTACCAGCACCGCCGCCGCACCTCCGCTCGGCACGCTACGGCCACGCACGGCGCACGTGCATACAACGACTCGCACAGAGATCCATCGACTCGCACAGAGACCCATCGACTCGCACAGAGACCCGTCCACTAGCACAGAGACACATCGACTAGCACAGAGACCCGTAGACTCGCACAGAGACCCATCGACTCGCATAGAAACCCATCGACTCGCACAGAGATCCATCGACTCACAGAGAGATCCATCGACTCACAGAGAGACCCACAGACTCGGACAGAGACCCATCGACTCGCACAGAGACCCGTCCACTAGCACAGAGACACATCGACTAGCACAGAGACCCGTAGACTCGCACAGAGACCCATAGACTCGCACAGAGACCCATAGACTCGCACAGATACCCATAGAGACGCACAGAGACCCATAGACTCGCACAGAGACCCATCGACTCGCACAGAGACCCATCGACTCGCACAGAGACCCATCGACTCGCACAGAGACCCATCGACTCGCACAGAGACCCATCGACTCGCACAGAGACCCATCGACTCGCACAGAGACCCATCGACTCGCACAGAGACCCATCGACTCGCACAGAGACCCATCGACTCGCACAGAGACCCATCGACTCGCACAGAGACCCATAGACTCGCACAGAGACCCATAGACTCGCACAGAGACCCATAGACTCGCACAGAGACCCATCGACTCGCAGAGAGACCCATCGACTCGCACAGAGACCCATAGACTCGCACAGAGACCCATAGACTCGCACAGAGACCCATCGACTCGCACAGAGACCCATCGACTCGCACAGAGACCCATCGACTCGCACAGAGACCCATCGACTCGCACAGAGACCCATCGACTCGCACAGAGACCCATCGACTCGCACAGAGACCCATCGACTCGCACAGAGACCCATCGACTCGCACAGAGACCCATCGACTCGCACAGAGACCCATCGACTCGCACAGAGACCCATCGACTCGCAGAGAGACCCATCGACTCGCACAGAGACCCATCGACTCGCACAGAGACCCATCGACTCGCACAGAGACCCATCGACTCGCACAGAGACCCATCGACTCGCACAGAGACCCATCGACTCGCACAGAGACCCATCGACTCGCACAGAGACCCATAGACTCGCACAGAGACCCATCGACTCGCAGAGAGACCCATCGACTCGCAGAGAGACCCATCGACTCGCACAGAGACCCATCGACTCGCACAGAGACCCATAGACTCGCACAGAGACCGATAGACTCACACAGAGACCCATCGACTCGCAGAGACACATCGACTAGCACAGAGACCCATAGACTCACAGAGAGACCCGTAGACTCGCACAGAGACCCATCGACTCGCAGAGACACATCGACTAGCACAGAGACCCATAGACTCACAGAGAGACCCGTAGACTCACAGAGAGACCCATCGACTCACACAGAGACCCATCGACTCGCACAGAGACCCATCGACTCGCACAGAGACCCATCGACTAGCACAGAGACCCATAGCTTGATGTCGTCCTTCCCCCGCGCCTCCGATTGACACAGTATGGCGACGTACGGTGTGCGAAAGAATTTCAACATGCTGGACATACATCTCTAGTCTTTACGAGTCGATTAATATTTATTATGTGTTTATAATGTTGTTAGTATCTTTACGTATTAATATCCATTGTTAACGTTTTTGGGGTGAAAAAGGGTAACTTTCGATGCGAATTAAGTCTTTAACATGTATTTCTTATACTCGCTTAACGACCAAATCACCTCGCAACTGGTTACAGGAAACCAATTACCATCGTTAAGAGGGGGTTCTCCTGTATTATTATTTCTATTAACGTGCACCATCTCGCTGGGCTTTTTTTTCGTTCTTGACACGTTAGGGCTTTGCCCCGTTGTCCGTAGCAAACGACCATGAACACAAAATGGGGAAATCTACCGAAGCGACATCACGAGCCAGCCACCTTCGATGGCCACTTCATCTCACGAGATTTAGTAGCGCGAATAATGCGAGCGCGGGCTGTCAGTAGTGTCCCTGACTTATAAACACCCGACTTACGAACACCCCGCACTTACGAACACTAACACTTACGAAACAAAAGCCTAGTTCAGCAGTTTTTCCTTGCTGTGGTTGTCCCACCTGATGACGATCGATTGTGTTGCGATCGAAACGTCGTGATCTATTATTTGTATACCTACGTGACTTTACCCAAAGAACCAAAGAGTAAAGATGTGATGAGTCGGCCTCGTGTTGGGAGTGAGTGTTTGTGTGTGTGTGAGCATTCAAGGGGAGCGGTGTTGTAGCGGTTAACGCGCTACGCTATGAACGAGGTGACCCGAGTTCGATTCCCGCTCACGGCCAACACCAGTGACGAATATCTGAACCGGTCTTGGGCCTCCTCTAGGTCAACTCAGCCTGATGTGGCGTGTAAACATCACCATTGGGGAGATAAAGGTGGCCGGGTGTGGTGCTGGCCACCCAACCCTTCGTGTGCCGTGCCGGCCTAATAGGTGCTCGCTAACAGCACTTGCCCTAACAGTCTGTTCAGGCTAAACGGGGGGGATCTTTGTCGTTTTTGTGGGCATTTAAAACACGGTGCATCATTGTGTTCCGACTAACGAACAGTTCCGACTTACGAACCGTTACCCGCGGAACGAATCGTGCTCGTAAGCCGAGGACCGTCCGTATGCGCGCAAAACTCAGCGGAACGCGGTGGGACTTTGAAGAGACGGGGGGAAAAAAGGTAGCGGCGGGGAAGAAAGACACGGTTTTGAAAAACGAAAAACAAAAAAAACACGGCGCATGCTGAAGCAAACTAAAGCCCGATAAGGATCCACAGTCGGAATTAACAGGGGGAGGAAGGGGGGGGGCTAAATAAATAAATATTACCAGCGCTATAATTTCCATTTTCACAGTTTCCTTGATCAAGTGGCTCAGATGCGGCGACGGGGGGGGGGGGGGGGTAGTTTAAGGGTGGAAGAACGGAGGGCGGAGGGGGGGCCGACATTGAAACAGCTGGTTGCCACAGACGCCTCGTAACTCAAGGTCAGGTCACACGGAGTGCTGCTTCAGGAGTGCTGTTGAAAAGCTGTCGCCGCCGCCGTCGCCCTCGCCTCTCGACAAGCGATGCGCCGAGGAGAGTGCCGATAAACGACGGCAACGCATTGCCGCACGCGTATACACGCGTGCGGCGGAAACATGAGGAACAGAAACGTCATTTTATTTACGTACAACAAACGCGGCAAACCGTACCATCTGCCGGTTTTCGCTCTGCACCATTTGCACGAGGAGCTCCCAGCGCAGGCATGCGAAGCGCTCGCACACACTTACATTCGTACATTTCAATTACTCTTAAACCAGCGGGTAAACAGAGGCTGCATTAAGGCAACCCGGCAGAGATTTCACGTAGCAAATAGTCGTCAAACGAGACCAATTCGGCTTACAGGGGTGCAAGAAAATGTTCTCACTTTTATATGTTCCAGAACGACGCTGGGGCTGCCGCCTTTGCCATCGGTAGTAATCGGCGTAATGCACGACACTCCACTGGAGTTGGGAGATATTCCTGTCCATAATAATCCTATATTATTGCACCCTATATAACCGTACCCTATATCCTTAGGGAGGGAGGGAGGGAATGGATCCGCGCAAAATACAATTCCGCGAACGGCGTTCTGGTATCGTTCTGGCTGAAATAAAGCACTGCACATGCTTTCAGTTTCAGTTTAATTTATTAGGATTTACCCTGTGAGCCATTCGGCTCTTGATTTGGGTTCAACCGCAACAAACAATAAAATGACAAGATACACCTAAAATTCATTGTACACAAATCTGAACAGCACGTACGTAAACAATAGAATTCTACAGAAAAAGCACACTCTTAGTTTTTTAGGTAAAGTCACGTAGGTAAAAAATGAAATTAAAATTAATAATAATAAAATAATAAAATTATAAAAATCACGACGTTTCGGAGGCAACACAAGTCTCCGTCATCAGGTGGGACCGTCACAGCTAAATTTTCTGCACTTGATACAGCAAATTTAGCTGTGACGGTCCCACCTGATGACGGAGACTTGTGTTGCCTCCGAAACGTCGTGATTTTTATTTTATTTTTATTAATTTTTATTTCATTTTTTACCTACGTGACTTTACCGAAAAAACTAAGCGTATGAATCCTTGCAGTCACGAAAGCTTCAAATCTAGAAAGAAAAAGCATAACCTGCTTTCTCTCCTTACCCGTGGCGAGATACTCGGGTAAAGCAACGTTTTAACGTGTGCGCGGATTTGGCGAGCGGACTCGCGGGTTCGTCGGCATTAACAAACAACAAACGATACGATTTAAAGCTTTCGTGACTGCAGGGTTTCATATTCTTGGATCTTTCGGTAAAGTCACGTAGAAGGGAAATAATAAAATAATAAAAATAAAACACAATAAAAATTCTCACGACGTTTCGGCCACAACACAGGTGACGGCTGCTTGTGTAGTGGCCGAAACGTCATGAGAATTGTATGTTTTATTTGTATTATTTCCCTTCTACGTGACTTTACCGAAAAATCCAAGAATATAAAACAAATGATACGAAAAGGCGCCGCCTAAAAGCTCGAGACCGTTATTCCTAGACAGTGGCCCGAACACATCACGGAGCCCAAGCCTTTATAATTGCTCTTTGCCTGCTCTTCCGATAAGATTGCAGGGGGGGGGAGATTACAGGCAGCAGCAACCTGACCTCGACCTTTCAACCTTCGGCTCTATTGTTGCCAACCGCAGCCCTCGAACTTCAACGCTCAGAACGCGTGGGAAGACCAAAATCGTGGTGCCCTTGAAACGCTTTAATTTTTCCGACGCCCTCCCCCGACTGACCGCATTCACCTCTCCCTCGTCTAAAACCGCGCTCGAGTGCCGTGCGCTTATTTTTTCGCGCTCCAAAGTCTGCCGTGTCTCCCGCCGGCGTTCCCTTCGAACCGCTACCAGCGTGCGCCTAGAGCCTGGCGTCGCCAAGATCTCGAGTTTTG